GTACTCATCTCTTGTCTCTCCTTTTTGTAGGATACCTCCTGGTGGTTCTGCCCCACTTCTGTGTGTTCCTGGAAAACCTGCTTGAGCTTGCTGCGTTCCAGCTGGAAACACTAGGAACAGATTCTCAGATTGCTGCTGGAATACACACATGAACACACCATACTCACGTACACATATCCACACATATGCACCCTCTCATCCTTGCTATACTATTTAAGACATACATGACCCCAGGATCACCTTGTATTAAGTTGAAAGTCTGAGTGTCTAACTCACTTTTCCTATTCTGGTGCACAGGGTTCCAAACAGCTTTAGCACTGCTTTTCAAGGCAACTCATTTAAGGTATTCCAGGCAGGCAGATAAGTTAACAGCAAAGGTTTTGCCCCAGACTCCAGTTAGACCCTGGCAGCACTGTCACATGAACATGGGGACATTACTTAATCTCCTCAAGCCCAACATTTATAATGATTCCGTGGAGCTTCCATGCCAACTTGCTTCCACTGAGCTATTTTAACATGAAGAAGAAACATGTCTATCCTGCTTTAAGTATTGTTTATGGTCTCTGCTACTAGCTGTGCAAAAGAAAAAAAGAGTAATCTCAAAAATGCCAAAATCCCCTTGAAACACCTATGAAATCCCTCCATTAATAAAGCAGCAAGGCATGAGTCATAAATAACATATAGGTATGAAACATGATAAGCCTGTCTTTCTTAGGGCCAGTCACACACATAGACTAAATTAGGCTCTCTCATGTGTACTTACCTTTCAGAAATTACCTACATTGTTTTCAAATGTTGTAAGAAAAATACTAGGCAGCATCAGTCTAAACCATCCCAACAGCAACACTTGTGATATGTGTGTACATTACTCCAAGACCTTAAACTAACACTTCAGGATTTTTTCATACTTGTTGAATTAGCTATCAGCAGGGACATCCTGGCATCTACAACAGTGTACGCATAGTAACTGAGAAATTTCCAAATCATGAACAGATTGCTGCTGGAATACTCATACACATCTCCCCAGGGCTTTTCATCAAGCCAAGTTAGATTCTTTCAGATTGTGTCATGAGGCAGAATTGCATTTGCTTTTCTTTTCTCTTGAATTGACAGAACATTGAAATTTATCCAAAATTTAGAAAACTCACTTGCTGTTATAAGGATTCACCTAATTGTAGGTGAATGGAGCTTTAAGAAGAATGGCAGGTACAGAATTCCGGAACTCAGTTTCCCAAGGAATGTTACCTCGTCGCTAAGCTGTGTCACGTATCCTATCAACAGGAACCCCAGAGGCTACTTGGAGTGAGAGTGGGAGGCAGCTTTATTGTTTCAGAGGCTTTGGACATTGGGCTATTTTTGCCAGTCAAAACTTCCAGGTTAGTGTGAAGGTAAGACAAGCAAAGAAACCCTGTGCCAGACCCTTATGAAGCTGGAAGAGTAGGAGCTCCTGACTCAGACCACTTCCTCTTAAACCCATCACAGGATTAGTTTAAAGTGAACATTAAACATTTTTCTACAATTTAAGCTATTATTTACTTTATGTCCCTCAAATCCATCTTTGTTTTAAGATATTTAAAATGAAATGAAAGTCTAGGTGAGAGCCGCCACTCTCTTGCACTGCCACCCTGTCCTCCAGAGGAAGGACCTTCCTCAGGCCAAGTCTAGGGCTTCCCCTCCTCAGAGCTAAACACAGCTGCTCTGTGGGTTTTCAGTCATGCTTTATTCTGCAATTAAAATTATATATTTTTCCTCTAACAAGAGCATTGTATCAGTTTCTTAGCAATATTTTATTAAATATCTTGAAACAAAAAACACAAAGTTAGTCTGATTTAAAGAAATAGGGCATTACAAACCTTTTATTTGACTACCACATATTTGAAAGTTTAAGTTCAAGCCAGACTTTTCAAAGAACTCTGTCTTCAGTGATTTCAGCTGCTATAACAAAGTACCACAAGCTAGGTAGGGTATAAGCACGAGGAGTTTATTTCTCCTGTTTGTGGAGGCAGAGAAGTCCAACATGGCACTGCAGATCAGTGCCTGCTGAGGGCTCGGGCCATGCTCCCAGATACACCTCTCTCTGCATTCTTACATGGTGGATAGAGCTGGCAGCTCTTGGGGCCCCTTTTCAGACACTAAGTCCATTCTTGGAGGCCCACACACCCGTGTGGCCTGATGACATTACCCCATCCTGCCATCGCCCCCTTGTCCTCTTACTCACAAATGTTTGTTGACTGATTGAAAAAACATTAACTTATCAAACATCACAAACCAATGTTCTTCACTCTGTGAACTAAAGATATAGTATAATCTTTGGGATATTTTTTCTTCTTTAGATTTTACCATCCTTTCAAAAGGTAATAAAAATTGAAGATGCTAGTTTTCTCAGAGTACAATATGAGAGATCCCTGTAGAAACGTAAGTTGGGCTGAGTATAGTGGTGCATACCAGTAATTTGAAGAACTCTGGGATGCTAAATCAAGAGGATCATAATCTCAAGCCCAGCCTGGGCAACCAAAAAAGTTAGCTAAGACCTATCTCAAAATAATTCACAAGAAGGAAGATAGGAAGGGAGGTAAGGAGACTGAGAAAGAGAGGAAGGAAGAAAACAAGGAAGGAGGAAGGAGAGAAAAAACTTAATATAAATAACACTGAGTATCATATTTTAAAATCATCACTTAAATTTACCATGTTATTCTCTCAGGTTTTTACACAGAGAAAATTGGTCAAACAATGGCCGTGACTCATCCATATGACTGACACTGACAAAGGCTCTACAAACTGCGGTATATGGCTTCAGGGTCAATCCTGATGGGATTTGACTATCCTTGTCACATACAAAAGTTACATTTCTTGTTATATAGGTCTGGCTTTATCTTGGTCTTAACCATACAGCAGAAAAGTATAAAAACAAGGCATAAAAAGTAAAGCCATATTAATATGCTGACCTGTAAAAGGCTCAAAGTCAACAACTTCTGACATTGCCAGTCCTACAAATAACCCACTACTAATATGGATTACTGGACTACATTGAATTATTTTGCTGAATTCAAGTACCTACAGTATTTAAATGGCAATGGAATACCCATCTCTGACAAAACTAAACAAAAATTGGGATACAAATAAAGGACCATTTTGTATCTGATATACTATTGGTTTTTTTTAAATTTTATTTTACTTTATTTATTTTTTCTCTTTGTGCTGATTTTTTTTTCAAAATTTTATTGATAAACAGATAGCAATGAGACAGTTTCAAATCAAATCGGAAGTACAGTTTCAACAAATAATACACTGCATA